AATGATATAACGATGTTCATATACATATGCAATATATATATATATAATTCCAATTTAGCTTATTCTAGGTACTTTATGATATAATTGCGGATTGATTTGCTTCCATATATTGTTGCTGAATTTGTAAATTATAAAAATATGTTTATCAAATAGGTCAAATTTATGAACTTAGGAGGTTAAATAAAATATAAAGAGGGAAGAAAAGAAGGAAACCTCGTTATCCATTAGACTCACACACCCTACCCTAGTAGTACGCGCTCCAATAGTGCTAGAAAAGAGAAGAAGAGGAAGAAGCAAATTGAATTGGGAAGTGAAAAGAAATGCAACAAGGGAAACAGGGAGTTATGGTGATACCTCAGCAGAATCAAAACCCAATAGAGCAGTTGCAGGCTCGGTTCAAGGAGCTAGAAAGTGGGTTCAAGGGTTGGTTGGCCAAACAGTCTTTGCCTGTGGAGGCAGCCGTCGTCACACTCACAAGCGGCGCACAGGGCGCTGCCATCGGTGCCTTCATGGGTACTCTCACCAACGACGTTTCTTCCTCTCTTCCCACCCCTCCTCCTCAGGCCGGCCTCAACCCTCAAGCCATGGCCTCTTTCAAGCAAGCTCAGGTCTCCCTCTCATATTATAGGTTTTTCTTTTTCGTCCGTTTTAAAAATTACCTATGATTGGATTGGATTTCTATAGGGAAAGTTTGGAGAAAATTTGAACCTTTATCATAACCCCTTCAACCCCATTTGGCATTTGGATTACATTATAATTCCAATATTTCATTCTTGTTTCTATCAATTTTCTGTAGTCAAACACGGGCAAAGTTTATTTCACGGGAATAAATTGTTCTTTTGTTCTTTGACGTTGCTTACCGTGATTACTTTCAGTGCTGGAAAATCTTGGCTTGGTTGAAACCTATAATTCTTCAAATATGTGGTTTTCAGATAGGATCGAAGTATACAATTAGTAAGCAAAAAATGATGCAATTAATCAGCTCAAAGTTTAAAACTTTTCCCTCTTCTTGTTGACTTTAAACTCCAATTTGATTACTTTTCACATTTTTTAGTTGAAAAGTTCTTATGTTTTAAGGATTTGTCGACGGCACAGTTTTTTCTTTTCGTCATTTATGTTATTATGAACTCTAAAGTTTGTAGTTAAGGATATCCCAATTGTAACCTAATTGAACAGAAAACATGTTCCCTCACTATGATCTCAGATTAATTTGAAACATGGGTAGTGTTTGAATTAGTTGTTGCGGTTACTTGGTGGAGCAGTTCTGTTGATATATGCAATGTTCACTTTGATTATAGGCCCTTGCTGGGGGTCCCTTGATACAAGCTCGCAACTTTGCTGTTATGACTGGTGTCAATGCTGGCATATCCTGTGTCATGAAAAGATTGAGAGGCAAGGATGATGTTCAATCTAGGTGAGCCTTTTCTTTCCTCCGTATTGCTTATGATATCCCAATCACAATAAATTAGTGTTATGGTTGAACTGAGTCTGGCTGTTAATTTTGATTGCTTCAGTGAATCATTCTAGGTAGAAATTAGCACAATTTCTTCACGTTCAATCTTCTGAGATTCACCTAAAATTATATAAGTTCTGAAACAATATTAGGTTAACCCTTCTTTTGAAATTTATCCTATCACCTTTTAGATGTCACCTCGATGCCTTTATGTCTGTATATAGGTCATTTGAGGAGTAAGAAACAGACTTTAGTGAATTTGTTCCTTTGGTCCACTTATGGAAAAGGAAAACTTATTCGCTTCCTGTGTTTCATAGAGATCATAGTTCTAAGGCAGAATTTCTGAGGTACTCCCTGAAACTGAAAATGCTTCATTTTTTTTCTTTGGTCCCAGAGCCATTTTGCTATTTGGTTCATTCTATGAGCGATAGACCTGGATCTCTTTCTTTTCTTCCTGCTTTTATATGTTCTCAGGGAAATCTTCCATTTTTGTATGTTCCCCCCTCCCCCCACATTTTTCTTTTACATAGAAAAGTGTCTTTCTGTGTCTATAGGTAGATCATATATCAAATTGTTCTTCATAATATCATGCCTGCAATGCGCAAGTAGTATAGATTTCATTTATTTTTAATATTGATAGGCGTGTTTTTTGGGTTTTACCACAACCTTGTTGTTATTCCCATGTACTGCAGCATGGTGGCTGCTTTTGGGTCGGGAGCCCTATTTTCACTGGTGAGTGGCATGGGCGGCCCCAATCAAGCAGCAAATGCAGCCACTTCTGGACTTTTCTTCGCACTAGTTCAAGGTGGACTTTTCAAGGTGAGCCTGAACAAGATCTAATTTATCATTTTGATAGTAGGTAAAGTGTGTTCATTTTTCTAGTCCCTAGCTGCACATGATTGCATTGCAAGCTTTGAGGAGACCTCAAAGTGAACAAGTCCTTTTTAAGACAAGGAGACAGCTGAAAATTTGGAACTAACATTTTTCAAAAATACCCAACTATAAATGAATCTATATGGGGTCTCGTGCTAGTACTCTGAGTCACTGATTTGGTGCTGGTTACTTATCTGCGCTGAAAGCACTTTCACATGGTTGATGCAGTTGGGGCAAAAATTTTCTCAACCACCAACTGAAGATATTTACTACTCTAAAACAAGGAGCATGTTGAGTAACCTTGGCCTCCAGAATTATGAGAAGAATTTCAAGAAAGGGTTATTGTCAGACAACACTTTGCCTCTGCTCAACGACAGGCAAGTAACAGGCTTTTCAAATTCTTTCACCCCCATACTCTCGTAAAGTCACTTTGTATATGTTTTGATGGCCTTCCTTCCATTTGTGATGCCATTTCAGTGCACTGAGAGACGTGAAAATCCCTCCTGGACCAAGGCTTCTCATTCTTGATCACATTCAGAGGTCTTACTCCTGCTCCATAAGTAGTTATATTGCCCCCTTGAACTTCTGAGTTTATCTCACTTATGATTAATTTTTGGTTTCAGGGACCCTGAGATAAAAGAGAGGCGAGGATTTAGCAGTTGAAGTGAACTGCCTATTGTCGATTTAGTCTGCTTGGCCTTCCTGAAGAACCCCTTCTTTCTCCAGTTAAAACATCAGTAGACTCATAAGGGAGATGTTTTCAGTTGAGATAATGTCATTTTGCTGTCAACTGTGTTCTTATTATTCAACCGCTACAATTTGCTAGGTAAAATAATGATGGCATGATTTTGGTATTTATGGAAATTCATTTATTTGCAATCCTGAAGATCTATAAGAACTCTCCTTCTTCAAGCATGCCATCATGATTGCACAAGTAACAATTCATAAAAGTAAAAACCAAAACCAAAGAGACCAAGATTATGAAGAAAAATCAAGAGTGGGATTTGTTTGTTCCAGAAAGGCAACCCAGTGATCAATTGCCAGATTTGTACCCGTACTTGTTATCTTGGATGCATGATGCAAGCGGACCTTACATTACATGTGTAATAAGTAGTATGCAGATACAGCAGAACATTATACATAGACTTTGGAATGGACAGATGTAGCTTCACATGGCACCCATTGTTCTTTGTAATCTTGCAGATGTGACTGCAGTGTAGCTTCACCTTCACGATGCCCTTGTCCTGTGGCCTTCCTTGGCGAATAGTACGAAGTTGGAAATTAACGTGAGGTGCCTAATTGCGGATAAATAATTCTTTGATGTGAACGTGACACCTCCGCGTTGTGTTATAAATTGAATTAAAATTTATTCATATTATAATGTGTATTTATTCATTAATACTATAAGTCCATAATAATTAATTAATTACGCGGTCCATCCATATTATAACTACTTATTAACGCTATGTGATGGTGTCATGTCACCGTGCCATCTCTCGTTGTATTTTTGCTATGCGTTTGCCTTAATGCCAGCCAGCCCTCGTCTTCGTCTTGTTGGCCTTTCATTTTCAGCAGTAATGCTAGTCCCCATGTGACGGACCGTTTGATCTTGGCAATAATGCAAGACCCCTTTGCTGTGAATTGTGAGAGCACGTCTCTATAGATTGCTTTTTTATTTGTCAAGCTTCTTCATTTGTCAAGCGCCTTGACGAAGGACCTAGACTCTATACCTTTTCTTTCTTCTTTTTGCTTTCAAGTCTTCATATTTGAGATAAAAGCAATAGATTTGATACTGCATTCTTCGGTTGCCATCTTCTTTCTCCGGGAGTCAAGTCACATTCACATCACTTTTTTTTATTTTTTAAAATGTCAAATTAAACTCGTGAGTTAGGCAAGAATTACGTAAGATTGTACTGTAGTGTTAACAAAAGACTAACTTCATATCCTAAGCAAGAGGGATCATAGAGAGATAGGTCGGAATGGCTAGATAATCAGGTTTTTTAGGTTTTAGACATAAAAAAAATTTCACTTTTGGAAAAAGCCAAACCTTTTTAAAAAAAGACAAAAAAACCACTCAACTTTCAAATCAAAGACATGCAAATGTATTGGATTCCTTAGGAAATATAAAAATAAATAAGGGCATTTTTGTCCATTTTTGCTTCTTTTAAAATTTTTCTCTCTCCTTTTGCTTTTTCCAAAATGTCCCTAGATAATCTGCCTAAAATCAACGCGCTCAGAAAACTTTGAATTGACAATTTTTACAATTCAAACACGTTGCGTGCAAGTTATAACCAACCAACCTGTTCCCCGGCGGAAGATAATTATTTGGAATAAAATAATTAATCACCAATTCCAGTAAAAAATATTTTGCATAAATTCCCTTAATACGAGTGGACCTTTCTTCCACTCATTCGTTGGGTGGAGCAGCGGTCACAACTTGTCCACAAAACAACTTTTCAGCATTCACACCATGATTGCACTTCAGTCTTCATTCAAATTAATTGTTCACTAATCGGACACTATTTTGCTTATGCATTCATTTGACATCCACCTCCTCCAAGATTACAACTTTGGTGGCCGGACGGAAATTACAAACCCAAAAACAAGAACAGACTTTCAAGTATCGGAGAGGAAGTGGAACAGAACAAAGATGCAACCTTGTTGCTCAGAGAAATTAATCAGATCAAAGTAACAAACTTTATATTTATATTTGTTTTATTTTCTTGAAAGAGAAGATGGATCAAAATCAAATGATTCACATCATCAAACTACTTTATACACAGCACACAATTACAACCAACAACTACAATGGACCAATCCCAACCCAAAAGTACTACAACAACAACAACAATAATAACAACCAAATTCCAATTTTTTTTTGTTCAACCAATAAAAAAAGGAAGAAAAAAAATCAAAGACGACGAAACGGTTAGTAACTGAGCTTCTTGTACGTTGTCATTTGGAAGCGAGTCCCAAAGGCTGCGTAACGGATGAAGCCTGGAGAAGGCGTTGGGCCTGAGAGAGCTGGTTCATGAGGGCCAGAATCCGAGCGTGATCTGTACGAGCCTGATCGACGGCCTCCGCTTCGAGCTCACCGAGCTGTGAGCAGAGCCGCTCCTCTGCCTCCTCTGCGACTCTGAGCCTCTCGCGGGCCTTCTGCAGCTCAGCCTTCATGCGCTCCTCTCTCTCCTGGCTCTTTCTCAGCTCTCTCTCCAGCTCCTCGTTCCTCTTTCTCAGCAGTTTCTCTTCTTCAACCTCCGGCACTTGCTTTGTTACCGCCATTTTTGTTTCTTTCTTGGGAATTGCCAGGCTTACAACAATGTGTTGTTGCAGAGTACGTTTGATGGTGGGGTTTATAAAGGCCAAAAACTGTGTCCAGGTTCAATGTATCTGCCTTGCTTTCGAATTTGTGATTCTGCTTACGCCCTTGCGTCTGTCATTTAACTCGTTGGTCGGTATTTGATAACTTCTTTTCCCTTATTGTTTTTCACTTGGCATCTTCCTTCCATATCGTCATTACCCAACTAATCATGTCGCGCCTCGTTTAATTAGAGAGAACATTTTTCTCACTATTTTAACTCAAGTGTATTCTCATTATTATTCTCAATACTAAACGTGTCTATAGATATAACAATAGTTCCACAAATAAAAAACATATAGTTAACTAATGTTATGCCCATAGACAGACACGTGTGAAGTATTGACAAGAATGTTAAAAATACACCTTAAATTAAAATAGTGCGTACAAATATTTTATTAATTACATATTTTTTTAAACTTTCATCACCGTAATTAATTAGAAGATCGAGATGAGGCGACTTTTTATTTCTAGAAATAAATGGCTGATCTAATGCAGGCTGCGCGTTGTATTAAAAAATTCAAATATTCAGTTGGTTAATGTCGATATAGGTGACCAAATTCTCGTTGTTTTCACACATACGGCATTGTTATTGACCAATGACCCAGTCAAGAAAAGATTTGAGCTTGTTTGGGTTGGTCTTTAATTAACCTAGGAGTAAATAAAAGGCAAATCAATAAAATCGAGAAAGCAAACGCCCGACAAGATGTGTGGTGGTACTAACAAAACAATACTATGTGAAATGGATCCTTGTAGTGGGTAATTATCGGACAAAGGATCGTGGCCAATCGAGGTCGCACAAGACGCACAAGTGGGTGGGCCGTCCCAATCTCCTAAAGGTTGGGTCACACATTATAAAGTACATCAAGAACCATAACTTTTTTTTTTAATGGAGATTCGAATATGAGATATTTTTTCTCAAATTAAGGTAATCTTTAATTACGGACTATAGATCAAATATAACTCTAAAATAATGTAAAAATCATCTCCAGTTATGGAGAAAAAAAAATACAAATTTATAAATAAACCCAATCCTAGACATGTATTTATAAAAAAACCCAAACACTATTTAAACATAGAAACACACCCAAAATCAACCCCAAAGTCAACTTTTTGGGTGTGTTTATAAATAGGTTTTGAGTGTGTGTAATGATGGGTTTTGGGTGTGTTTATAAAGTGTTTTGGGTGTTGGGTTTTTTTATAATTTCAACCTCCATTTTGGGTGTTTTAGTGAAACTCCCAAAAAAAAAAATTAGCAAAATTTGGCTCTTTAACCTTCCAACCAAGTCAATTGTAGGCTAGCTTCCAAATTTTTTTTGTAGGCCCCAAGCATATGCTTTTTAATTAGAGAAATTATAAAGTGTGGACAATAGCACGAAACATCTCGTGCAAATGCATATCCAATATCCAATATTAAAGGCACGCTAATGTCATCGATAACGTTTAGTCATATGACTGGAGATGGCTTAAGATATTTTTCCATTGAACTAGATTCCGTTGGCAAAACCAATTTTTAAGCTAAAACAACTTTAGCAAATACAAACCATCTAAATAAACAAATGTTTCACAATAATCACCATCCCTATTTTTTGTTTCTCTTCTTAAATTATTTTAGACTCCCTTTGGATGGAGGGATTCAAAATAATAATAATTTAGATGTGACAACAAGATTAGCAACATAGATTGTAATAGTCTAAACAAATAATATTAATCTATGAATTTAGAATATCTCTCAATCCAAACGGAGCTTTAACGAATTCCATTACATTTATGACAACACAATGGATCGAAATACGATCTTAATTAGTAATCTAAAACATTAGATTTGGCATACTCTTTCGTTTTGCTTCTCTTGTCCTAAATTGTATGTGAACGTAAAATGAAAAACAAACTATAGTACCTGATTCAAACGATGACCATTTTCTATTATCTCAACCGCGCGGCCCTGCAGGAGACTTGCTTGAAAATGAACTAGTGGACCCTGGTGAAATAGAGAGTGTAGAGTGGTGAGGCATGGATTGTGACATGGCGGTGGTGAGCACGCATTGCATTATATCATGATAATTAAATAAAATAATGGTGAATCGTGGGCTTGATTGGTGTGTCGGTAGGATGAGAATTCGTCATTCCAATGCAAATTTCTATTTATGGGATTTATTATTTGGACTAAAATTAATTACCATGCATTTGTCAACTCTTCCTTTTGGACAATCCATTGGCCCAACTTCCGTCCTCCCGAGAAAACTTCATAGATAGTCACAGTGGGCAACTACCAAATTTAAAGAAAAGAAAAAAGAAAAAGAAAAATATAATGGGCTTCACTATGAAAAGACGATAATGGACTGGGCTCAGTTTATAGATTTTATGCGATGGCCTTAGGGTTCTTCTACACTCTTTTTGTTACCCATTCACATAAAAGAAAACCAAAACCCATTAGTTGCTAATGTCTTGTTTATTTTAGATTGCAAGAATTTTGTTTTTTTCTTTATAAAAAAAAAAAAAAAGATTTTAGTTTTAATATTAATAATAATAATAAATTGATCGTGCTTTTAAGTTTATCCCCACCGGCCAGTCTATTGCAATGACATAACTTAAAGCAAGGCAAATGATTGAGAGATTTTTTTATTCGAAGCAATTTGAAATGTTTACTTCAACAAACTGAGGAAGAGAAGACACGCTGCGTGGGCTCTTGGTGCTCTACGCAACCCTTGACGTTGCTGTCTCTTGCATTGTAGAAGAAGAACATCAATCACCTTCGCTCTTTTCTTTCGGTAAGTTTTTCATTTGATATGCATGTTTTTTATATTATATTATTCTACTACGTTTCCAATATCATCCTGGGTTTTCTTTTTCAAGATCTCTGATTTTTCATGTCATCTGATTCATACTGCTATGATTGTTGCTAATTTCTCGATGTTCTTGGATCATCCGAAGACCCATATGCTTGATCCGTTACTTTCCGGTGCTCATGGGTGATTGAATGCTTTATATGTTCAATTTTTTATTTTCGTTTATATGGGTCATTTGATTTTGCTCAATCTCTTTATACAGAGTAGCTGCCTGGTTGCTTCTTGCATCATCATCTAGGTCAATTCTTGAATTTCTTACTTCTCTGGCACTTATGAGGTACACATCTACGGTTCATAAAGCTTCCTTGAAGAGGGTATTTCTTTTTCTCTGCTTATGTCTCTTCGTTTAATCAGAGAATGCACTGGTACACATCAAACAGTTGTATAGTTAAATGCAAGTGCAAGACTTTATCAGAATTCGGGTTTGTTTAAGTGATTTGGGCAAGGAGTGGTTTTTGTGGTATCGATTGCTTCTGAGTGAAATGCTGTATAAGAGGGACTTGGAGTCTAGTTAGAGATTTAGTTTTAAGAATTATGGATTTTCAGAATAATTTTCAGCTCGAATCAGGGAAATTGGAACAGATAGTTTCCCAGTTTCTACTGAAGAGCTTGCATATTGTTTTGGACTCTAGGATCCCTTCTCTTCACCCACACGATCGCAGTGGTGACCTGTCATCCGTTCCTCAAGTGAGAAAGAGTGACAAGTGGTTCAACTTAATACTAGGGGACCGCCCTGCAGCTCGTGAAAATTTGAATTTCTGGCACAGAAATGTGATGGATCCAATGATAATTGACATAATACTTGTTCGTGGAGGGCCTAGTTCTTCTTCTGTTGACAATCTATATGTGAATTCTGTGGAGGGGACATCTGTTGAGACGATTATAGAGAGGTGGGTTGTCCAGTATGAAACTCCGCGGGTTGTGGCTCCCCAAACTGGTGACACTTCGGCCTCTTATAAGAAGACATACAAGAAGTCAATCATACTTTTACGTACTCTTTATTCATATATGAGGCTTCTTCCAGCTTATAGGATCTTTAGACAGCTAAGTACATCTAGTCAGACTTATAATTTTGATATTGTTTACAAGGTGTCTTCACTTAGAGATCCATTCTCAAGGGCAGAGGAGGAACTAATGGAGGAGTACAGTTTTGCTCCTGTAGAGGCTCATCCTGGCTGCCTTTCTTTATCCGTGACTTACCGTTCAACACTATCTGATTTCAATCTTGAGCCTGCAGCACCAATGCCACCAAGGATAATTACAGATTATGTTGGTAGTCCTGCCACTGACCCCCTGAGGTCTTTCCCCTCATCAGAGAAGGGTTCCTTTCCGCGAGGAGGAATACCACCGCCATATACTGTGCCACTTCAACGACCACACAGCTGGACAAGTGGCTTCTACAGGCCACCTCCTTTTATTCACAATAAACCCCTAGTCGGATCTCCACCTGCATATCGTGCACCTCCAATGTCACATGACGTTGGATCTCCTCCTATTGATACATTTGCTAACAGAGTTCAAAACTATAGACCTCTAGGTGGTCATCAGAGAAATATGAGTTACGATGAGTATCAGCTTTCACCTCCATTTTCGCCATCTCCATCCCCATCTCCCCCAACATACTTGTCCAGTGGAAATTTAAATCCTATGCAAACTCGAATTCGTTCAGGAACTGCCCCTGTTAGTATCCCTCTTCCAATGGGGAGCAGAAGCCCTAGATACCTGTCCCCCAATTTTTCTGATCCAAGTAGAAATTCTCTTCCTCCATTATCACCCAGAAGCATAAGGAATGACGCTTCCTCTCAAGAGTCTTCATCTGTAATCAGAGCATTTAGAAAATTAGAGGCTTCAAGGACCGGTGAGATGCACCCTGGAACATCAAATCATATGGTTGGTCAGAAGGTAGTCCCTGTTTTCTGGTTTAGCAGCTTTTTCGCGCCACATTTATAGTCTTGAAGTTAAACTGTTTGTTTCTTTCTATCTAGTAAGACCATTTATTATCGTTTCATAGGTGATGAAAGACAGTAAAGATGATTCAGGGCGGTTCTCAGGATTGTTGTCTTCTAGTGGCTCACCACGTGTTGGATTTTCTAGAAGCTCCAGTAGATTATCTTTCCAGGATGATTTGGATGGTTTTGAGTTCTCATGTCCTTTCGACGTGGATGATGTTGATACATCAGATTCTCAAGTCAGGTACTTAAATTAATCTTTATGGTTAAAATCTATATACGCAGTCATGGCCCATTTTTGGCCTAAGAAAATTTGTATTTGAGTAATGGTATTATTTATATTGAAGTTGTTTCCTTCACAATTGCTGTGGCTACTTTTCTGGATGCATCTTTTTTCTGTTTCTCACTCTAACGGTTATTGGTTCCGGGCCTCTTGAATTGCTGAGTTTTATGACGGAGAAAAGCAGCAGCAAAAAACAGAACATGGTTGGATCTATTTCACAATACCTGAATCCCTGTGATACAAATAGAAAAAACAATGCATTTTATTTGCATGATCATGATTACCCATCATGCTCTATCATTTTCCTGGTTCAGCTCGTGTAG